CCAGTTCTCCATGTCTTTTTTCTCCCCAGCCTCTCCGTGTGTCTTTTTACTTCCCTGTCCCTCCATGTGTTTCATTTCACCCCCTCCAGCCTTACATGTGTATCATTACCCCGTCCCAGACATCCATGTGTCTCAATCCATCCTCCCAGACCTCCATGTGTATCATTAGCTCCCTCAGCCCCTCAATGTGTCTAATTAGCCCCTACATAGTCTTATTAGACCCCAGCCCTCCATGTGTCTCATTAGACCCCCATGTATCCATATAGTCCCCCCTCCAGCCCTCCATGTGTCTCATTCCACCCTCTCCAGCCTTACATGTGTCTCATTAGCCCCCCCATCCCTCCATGTTTCTAAATACATCCCCCAGTCTTCTAAGTGTCTTAATCAACTCCCCAGCCCCCCATGTATCTCATTCCCCCCCCCAGACTTCCATGTGCCTTATTATCTCCCTCAGTCCCTCCATAGGTCCCTATAGCAGCTCCCAGCCCTTCATGTGTCCCTATACACCCCTCCCAGCCCCTCATGTGTCCCTTTACCCTCTACCTGCCCTTCATGTGTCCCTATACCCCCTTCCAGCCCTTCATGTGTCCCATTAGTTCCCCCCAAACCCATGTGTCCCATTAGTTCCCCTGAGCCTTGGTGTCCCATTAGCCCCAGCCCTATGTGTCCCATTAGTTCCCCAGCCCCCATGTGTCCCATTAGTCCCCCCCCGGCTCTCCCTGTACCTTGCTGTAGCGTGGCCGAGCGGAAATTGTGAATGTATGTTATTGCACAGCAGTAAAAAAAAAAAATGACGTTATCTTTCTTATTTTGAAGTAACAAGAGTGTGCTGACAACTTGATGATCTCAGTCAACGCCATTTAATTCCCATAGGAAAGCACTGGAGGGCTATTGCGCAAGTGTGGCAAAACGCTGGGCTTCACTGCACCAATCAGCATCTCCTCGTAGAGATGCATTGCATCAATGCATCTCTATGGGGAGCATTCAGGGCCTCCATGCAGAGAGTGCAGATGCTCAACATAGGTTGAACATGCAGAGAGTGGAGATGCTCAACATAGGTTCAACATAGGTTGACTAGGAAGCACTGCTCACTGTACCCGGTCGGACAGGAAGCAGTTCTGTGCTCTCTGTGAGGTACGGGAACAGAAGCTCCTCTACTCGCGGTCTGCCTGCTCGGCCACGCTACATTCTGTGACCGGCAGGAGGGGAGCGCAGCCCCTCCTGCTGGTCACCTTGTAATTGCGCCTTGCGGCGCGGTCCGGTGCACACTAGGCGGCCACACACTGGCCCGCTAGTATGCTGGCCCACCGGGAAATTTCCTGGTATCCCGGTGGGCCAGCCTGGCCCTGGTTATAAGGAAAGGCTAGAAAAACAGGAATTGGTTTCTTTAGCAAAAAGACGCCTCAGAGAAGCACGGTTGTACTCAAAAGTTGGCATGTTAATTCTTGCAGGTGATATAGCTGCTCAGTTGTCTTGGTAATGCCTCCAGGTCATGCAAAGTCTTTGGTCATCTGAACCACACGTTTGAGATCTCCCCAGAGTGACTTGATGATATTAAGGTCAGGAGTGCGTCCCCTCCTGTCGGTTACACTGTAATTGCGCCGTGTGGCTCACGGGCCAGTGCGCACTTGGTGGCCGCGCACTTGCTCAATAGTGTGCCAGCCCACCGGGAAATTTCCTAGTATCCCGGTGGGCCAGTCCGGACCTGGGTGTGCATTAGGAAAAAAAAACTTGCTGTGTATTTTGTGATTAGTTTTACAGTTTAGCCTCCCCCTTGTTGATGGCTGGGGCTGCTTTGCTGCGTCAGGGCCTGGACGGATTGCTATCATCGAAGGAAAAATGAATACCCAAGTTTATCAAGACATTTTGCAGGAGAACTTAAGGCCAGCTGTCTACCAGCTGAAGCTCAACAGAAGATGGGTGTTGCAACAGGACAATGATCCAAAGCATAGAAGTAAATCAACAACAGAATGGCTTAAACAGAAGAAAATACACCTTCTGAAGTGGCCCAGTCAGAGTCCTGACCTCAACCTGATTGAGATGCTGTGGCATGACCTCAAGAAAGCGATTTACACCAGACATCCCAAGAATATTGCTGAACTGAAACAGTTCTGTAAAGAGGAATGGTCAAGAATTACTCCTGACCGTTGTGCACGTCTGATCTGCAACTACAGGAAACATTTGGTTGAAGTTATTGCTGCCAAAGGAGGTTCAACCAGTTATTAAATCCAAGGCTTGCATGTTTACATGTGTTCAATAAAAACATGGCAACATTTCATTCTTTGTGTGTTATTAGTTTAAGCAGACTGTGATTGTCTATTGTTGTGACTTAGATGATGATCAGATCACATTTTATGACCAATTTGTGCAGAAATCCATATCATTCCAAAGGGTTCACATACTTTTTCTTGCAACTGTACTTGCACACAGGCTGTACTTGGTTTCTTATTTAGAGAGAAAGCATACATTCTCTTAGAGTACTATTTAAAAATATGAGTTAACCATAAGGAACTGTATCCCAACCAAACAGCAGACTTATGGGGGGAAAAAGACTACGGGCTTTTCGGTGCTAGGCCCTAGCAGTTGGGGTATTACATATTTTAGGATATAATGTATTATGCTTATTTTCTGTCCTTACAAGTGTGTGACACTGATTGTAATTAATGTAGATTGTGATCATTAGTAGAATGTGTGGGTTCATTTAATATCCCTCTAGGTTCAGGGGAAACAAGTGGCAGTAAATGTGTAATGAGCTTCCTCCTACTACCAGGATTCCATAATAGAGAAAATCTAATTAGCTTTCCATTAGTGATAACGTTATAGAGCCAATACATTTTAACACAGTATTGCTCCAGATTCCATCTAGAAAATGCTTTGAAGATACAACGGAGGACGACCAACATACATGGACAAAATCTTAGGGTATAACTATTGCAATGAAGTGGGTATCACTTTAATGCACATTTAATGCTAAATATTGGTGACTGCGCTCAGAATGCACTGTCCGTGACATTTTGAAAAGCTATGTAACATTGAACATGTGCACCTTACACATTGCAACCTAAATGACATACCATGATTTGTCCACCTCTGATACATGTTATGTTTATCGTGTTAAGGCAGGGGTAGGCAACCTTTGTACTCCAGTTGTCGTGAACTGTATCACCCATAATGCTCTTACATCCATAATGCTGACAAAGAATCAGGAGAGATGTAGTCCACAGTGTTTAACCGTGGGTCCCCAAATTGCCACCAATGAATGTGCATCTATCATATTTTCATATCTATATTTTAATATCCAATGGGGTTTTGCGAAGCATGAGGATGTCCAGCGTTGTTTCACGGAGTGAAAATCAGTGAAACTGCAGGAAGTAGCTCTGGTGGTTTTCTGATACTAGAGGCAGTCTTAACCTTGCAATGAAAACATTGCAGTTTCTCTACAATTACAATGTTTGCAGCTGCAGGGTTAGAATGACAGGGACACTGCACACAAACCACTTCAATGAGATGAAGTAGTCAGGGTGCCTATAGTGTCCCTTTAACTTCAACTATGGCATATGTTCATAAAATATGTTGTACTTCATTATGGAATGTGTTCGTCCTATGCTGCATTGCAGTTGTTGAATTGTCGTATTAGTAATAAAGCTTTTATCACATGACCCTTAAATCAGGGTCACTGCACACTTCATACCCTCGGTTTATGGCACAATGCATTCCATTATTTCAATCTTTGTATGATAACTTGTATAGTGTAATTCACAATCACAATCCACTGTGTAGTGATTAAGCCCCAACATTTCTCAACTGGTAACAGGGTCATTGGTGCCCAAGGCTCCCCGATGCACGTGGGGAACGAAGGCTAGCCTGTCTAGTCTTATGACACAGAAGAGCTACTGTAGCTCAAATTGCTAAAAAAAACAAAAACTAAAACTTAGTTCTGGCCTTTATAGAAAGGTATCAAAACACAGTGCATTGCAGTTTGCTTTGTATGGGGCTGGTAGCCACAGATCGATCAGTTTGCCCATAATTACCACTGTGCCATCAATTGGGACTGACCAATGAACAATAGAAAAAGGTGGCTAGGTATTATAAATCAAGTTTTATTTTAGGTGGATGGCCGGGTGAGTGTGCATTGCTTACCTGGGGAAGAGATGGCAGCAGGATGCACTAGGGCAAGCATGTCAAACTCGAGGCCCGCAGGCCGCATGAAGCAATAAATTAAATGATGTGAGTGCAAGAATGCGTGAGTGTCTGTCAGTGTGTGTGTGTCTGTCAGTGCGTATATATGTGTGTCTGTCAGTGAGTAAATGTGTGTGTCTGTGCCAGAGAGTGTGTATGTGTCTGTCTGTGAGTATGTGTGTGTCTGTCAGTGAGTATGTGTGTGTGTCTGTCAGTGAGTGTCTGTGTGTGTGTGTGTCTGTCTGTCAGTGAGTATGTGTGTCTGTGTGCGTGTGTGTCTGTCTGTCAGTGAGTATGTGTGTCTGTGTGCGTGTGTGTGTCTGTCTGTCAGTGAGTATGTGTGTGTGTGTGTGTGTCTGTCAGTGAGTATGTGTGTGTCTGTGTCAGTGAGTGTGTGGTGTCTACAATATATCGGGTGAATCCGACTAGGGGAGACAAAAATAGAATATAGTGCAACACTGTGGAGCCCAATAGGGAAATGTATATATGCCAATGGGTCACTCACACTTTGTATTCAAAGTATTGGCATTCAAATGGTCTTTGGACGTGGATCTTCTCCGTTCTTGGTAATATGGGTCTCAGTCATATGTAAGAATAAGATATAATCCAATAAAGTGACTGTTATTTATTTATTTATAAAATATTTTACCAGGAAAGATACATTGAGACTGTTAAACAATTGTGAAGTGCAAAAATGTATTACTTACACAGAGGTTAAAAGCAGCTGGCATCAGATAAGAAGGTCATATAAGCTCATTCAACGCATTTCATCCCTATCAGGGACTTCCTCATGAATTACTTTTTAGTTATAAAACAAGTGCCAAATAACATAAATATATCCCAACCTCCCCTCCAACTTATTTACACTCCACAATCAATTCATGTCTTCTTTCGATTGCCTTTATCTGTGTGGTTCAGCTGATCGGGATTTTCTCCTCGTTGCTTCCTGGTTGGTTCGCGTCATCATGTTCTATGGGGAATGACGTCATGCGTTCCATCTATGCGTTCCACTTGGATATTGGCGTTCCCCCGGCTTAAACGGCAACATATGAGTTAATTTATGCGTCTTGTTTCAGCGTTTCTTTTCAACGAAAGTCCGTTTGGGGAGATGGACATGTAGATTAAATGGGAGGGAGTATGTGAAAGAGGGGGATGCATTAGAATTTTCTGATCTTACATTTCATAGTAAAAGAAAATATATATATATATATAGATATATATATATATACAATAAAACAAATAGACCCATATATAACATAAATGTAATACAGTATGTTTAACTATCTGGGACAATCCCCGTGGGAGTTAGCAAAGTTTATTTTAATGACCAAGATATTAATATTTGAGGAAATTCCTTTACATGTTATTATGGTTTATTTTGATAGGCAGTTTGAGCCTTTATCAATATTTGGAATATGAATTTGGAATATAAATTCTCCTATGATAATTCCAATATGCAATTAAAATAAAAAATAAAAATAAAATGAAATAAAAAATGAATAATGAATAAATCAATCTAAAGTTAAAACATGTGGAGAAATAAAAATATATAAAAAAATTCTACACATAAAAAAATATATATATAGAAAAATATTCTTTACTCCCATATTGGATTGTTCCTGACATAGGAATGTGCGAGAATTCCCACAATTTGCATCTAGGAAGATGCTTCCCATATTTGTATAATTCATGACCCAAAGAAGGAGAGTAACAGAGTAAGGATCAGAATAAGAGAACAAAGGAGGAATCTAATCCAGAAAGCACCATAGGTCTATATCTTGATTTAGGCCTCTAGGTTGGAGGGATTTTAACATGTTGATCCAGTATGTTTCTCGTTGCGCTAACCTTTTCATGATATTTCACCCTCTCCAGTAGTTCTCTACCTTTTCCATCCTACAAAATAACAATCTTTCCAATTGATTTTGGTACACATGTTGCAGAGAATGGGTACTATGTGTTTGGTTGATTTCTTTTTTATATTATTAATATGTTCTAAAATCCTGACTTTTAGTGTGTGGTGTCTGTCTGTCGGTGAGTATGTGTGTGTCTGTCAGTGAGTATGTGTGTGTCTCTGTCTGTCAGTGAGTATGTGTGTGTGTGTATGTCAGTGAGTATGTGTGTCTGTCTGTGTCTGTCTGTCAGTGAGTATGTGTGTGTGTCTGTCAGTGAGTATGTGTGTCTGTCTGTCAGTGAGTATGTGTGTGTGTGTGTCTGTGTGTGTCTGTCAGTGAGTATGTGTGTGTGTCTCTGTCTGTCAGTATGTGTGTGTGTGTCTGTCTGTGTCTGTCAGTGAGTATCTGTGTGTGTGTCTGTGTGTCTGTCAGTGAGTATGTGTGTGTGTCAGTGTCAGATCAGATTTGGCAAAGGGTGGTAGAGGTGGGTGCTGTGGTTTAGTAGAGGGGGCTGAGATTTAGTAGAGGTGGACGCTGTTTTTTTTTTTATACTGTACTTTTTCAAATAAACTTACATTTCTATTAAAATTTAAGGTATTTTTTTTTTTGCGGCCCACATAAACTTAAACTTTGTTTATGTGGCCCATGCCAGACTTTGAGTTTGACATGCTTGCACTGGCAGGTCAGTGGAGGCCATGTTATGCTCTGGGCAATGCTCTACTGGGAAACCTGGGACCCTGGCATTCATGTGGATGTTACTTTGACATGTACGTACCAAGAGATTGTTGCAAATTACGTACACCCCTCCATGGCAGTGGTGTTCCCTGATAGCAGTGGCCTCTTTCAGCAGGATAATTCACCATGCCACACTGCAAAAACTAATTGTTTTAGGAACATGACAAAGTGTTCAAGATGTTGCCTTGGCCTTCAGGTTCCCAAGATATAAATTTGATTGAGCATTTGTGGGATATGCTGGAAGAACAAATCCCATCCATGGAGGCTCCGCTTCGCAATTTACAGGACTTAAAGGATCTGCTGCTGATGTCTTAGTGCCAGATACCACAGGACACGTTTAGAAGTCTTGTGGAGTCCATGGCTCAATGCATCAGTGCTGTTCCGGCAGCATGCGAGGAACATGCACAATATAAAGCAGGTGGTTTTAATGTTGTAGCTGATTAGTGTATGTTTCTGTGTGATGTGCATGTAAAAAAAAGAATTCGGAGCATAAGATCTCCTGTCCCATGGTGATGTTAGTCCCACTCCAATATAACCAACAGCAAATTACAGCTGTTGCTACAGTGAGCAGCAGATTAGGCAAGTAGACTTTGTTGATTGCATTGTGTATCCGAGGAGCTCCCATCAGGGGGTAGGAGTACTCTGTGTATTTACCGAATATGAGCCGTCAGCAAAAAGCTTTCAGTATTAAAGAAATCAAGAGGGATACAATGGCTAAATCTCAATAACATATTATAGATTATTAAGAACACAAAAACTGAGATTTTAATGGCAGATAAAAGCCAATTTGTTTGTCTACTCTTCTGATCCCCTAATTAAAAGAACAGCCTTTCTTCATTACTAGTTTTCTGATAACCCATTTAATTAGGAGAACCATGAAACTCCGACAGGATTTAAACCAAATTTGATTCTTTACAGCAATTTTATGGCCTTTCCAACAGTCAGAGTGAAACACCACGACTTTCATTATACAGCTGTTTGCTGATCTGTGGGGTGGTAACTAATAATCTATAATTAAATTAATCATATGTTGACACCGATTTTTTTGTTCATGGCCTATTTAACCCGTCACATCCCTAGATATTCCCACCTGGGAAAAAAACTGCATGTAGTAATGAATACACGGGCATGCAAAAGGTTTCAGCTCACAGAACATCAATGATTGACCTCATTATGGCCTTATAAATTACTTGCTCAATCAAGCACCCGATGTGATATTGTGTGGTTGAAGTTTCCATAACAACTGCCAAAACTGATGTTTCAGGGCATTCGGGATGGGGGGGCTAGTTAACAATGTCATTCAAAAATGTTTTCTGTTCCGAGGAAATATACATATATTCCAATGGTGATGTTTGATAGGACATGTAGCTTAATTCAGGAGAATTAGACATTCTAAGCACTATAATGTCATCTCCATGCGTGGAAACGTTTTTAAACAGTTTAAAGGAATTCTATAGTGCTGTTGTTTTCCTGGCACTATAGGTTCCTACAGGGCATTCCCTCCCTCACGCCCCCCTCCCACGGCGCTGAAGGGGTTAAAACCCCTTTAGTCACTTACCTGAATCTAGCACCAGTGTACCTCGGCGCTGAATCAGTCTCCGCCCACGCTTCTCCACCGCCGACGGGGGAAGCCTAATGTGCATGTCAGCATAGGTCGCGCTCGCATTAGGATTTCCCCATAGGAAACCAATTATCAATGCTTTCCTACAGGGAATCCAGTGATGCTAGAGGTAGAGGTAGAGGTAACCTGGAGAGGTAATTATTGCAGTTTCTCAGAAACTGCAGTAATTACCACTGTAGGGTTAAGGGACATGGGAAATTGCACCAAAACCGATTCAATGAGCTGAAGTGGTCTGGGTGCCTACAGTGTCCCTTTAACATTGAATGAGAATTCCTGGGTGGAGGTTACACTCTGCCATAGACATATCAATTCAGACCAGCAATGGGCAGCTCTGATAGTGTCTGATGACCACGCTCAGCCTATCAGCCAAACACTGCTGAGGCTAATACCAAAGCATGAAACAGTTTAACTTTGAATTGAGGGATGGCACCAGGGAACTTCGGTTACTATAACCACTACAATGAGATGAAGTAGTTATAGTGTCTAGAGTTTCCCTTTAAATACCACGAGATGAGATCCTCATGGAATTAGTAATGGTCTTTTGCATAACTCCTTAGGGGATAAAGAGGAGAATAATTTTTATGAGAAGGGCATAACTATCAATACATAAGTTAGAGGGTTAATAACAAAAGGTAGTGGAAAACCAAGTCCATGAAAGACAAACTGCGCAATATTGTTATTTTTACTAAACAATCTAAATTCAAGATTCACTAAAAACCACTATTTTTGAGATAACGTTAAAGCCACATCATCTCATTATCATTATTATTCTTATTTATATAGCAACAATATATTCTGTGTTCCTTTACGAATTTACCTGTGGGATAAAAATCAGCAAATATTTGACAAATCTGTAAACACATACAAGAGATTAAGAGGACCCTACTCACATAAGCTTACAATCTAAGAGCTTCAGACAAATATATCCAGAGTGCGTTTGATGCAATATATAGACAGTATGCATCATATTTTTTTTTAATAATATGATATACATTCAGCTCCATTTACATCCTGTTCTTCACATGGTAGAAAAGTAGATTACTCGGTATTTACATGATCCTGTAGCAAACTCCTTGAAAATAACTTGAAATTTTACACTCATTTTTGCTTGCACATTACCCACGAGTTACTTGCATGTTCTGTCCCTGTTGTTGACTTGGTTACTGCTCAGAATTACTATGCATGTCGGAGGCAATTTTAATACGTCCATCAGAGGTTCACTAGAGTATGAATAAAGCTAGGAATTGAAGCCGCAAGTTGCAATAGTGGCGACAGCAGTAAAGAAAAAGATGGATTCTGCCAGGATGTTTGACAGACGTTTTGGAAGGTATGTAGAATGGCTGGGCTGAAGGATGTTGAAAGTTGCCTGGAATAAATAGATGGCTAGCACTAATCGGTGTGGATATACAGCTAGGATGATGTGTGTGGATGTATGGCTGGAGGTTATGAATGTGGATGGATATGTATGTATGTTCATGTATATCTGCTCTGTCCTCTACTTCCTTTGTTGAAGAAGTTGCTGGATAATAGCACCCATGATAACATCAGTGACCAACACATGTGCTGGTTCCTTTTTTATTTTTCACTTTGGACGCTCCTGCTCAGCTGTATGTCCTCTCTCTTTGCCTTTTATCACATCTCTAAGCTGTAGGACAGCGTTTCCCAAATTAGTCCTCAAGACCCACCAACAGTCCAGGTTTTGTTGGTATCCCCATTGGAATAAAACAGGGAAATACATAAATCCTGGACTGTTGGTGGGCCATGAGAACTGGTTTGCTGTAGGAGATTGCGCGGGAGAGGTACTCAACATTTGCTCGAATTTTACAAGTAAAAAAGTCGATGACGTACTTGATTTTTTGGAAGTAAAACTCAACTTTTACTCATTACATACTCAAATCATTTGAGCGAGAAATCACTTACACAATATTTTCATAACTGTGATTTTTTGCTGCAAGACGTAAATAGGGTTAAAAACAGTCAACTGGAGGAAATGATAGCATGTTCAAGGTCTTGTCATTCAGCAATATGCAAAACATGATGTGCACTGTGGGATAGTATCTGCGATAAAATGTTTTGTGGTTAAAGTGACACTGTAGTCACCAAAGCAACTTTAGGTTAATAAAGCAGATTTGGTGTACAGATGATGCCTCTACAGTCTCATTGCTCAAATTGCTGCCATATGTGAGTTGAATCACTTAGTTTATGCACATCGTTTATCCACAACTCCCTGCATATAACATGCTCAGTCTTCCTAAACACTTTCTGTAAAGGGAGATCTAATGTTTATATGATGTTTATGTTTATTCTTTTTTTGCACAGTCTGTTTAATTTAGAATTTCTTATCTCCTCCCCTGTTTATTTTGCTAGGCCTAGCACGAGCCTCCTGTGTGTGATTAAAACAGAAGATTAAAACGTGGAAAGTAAGTTAAAGGGACACTAGTCACCAGAAGAACTACAGCTTAATGTAGTTGTTCTGGTGAGTATAATAGTTCCCTTCAGGCTCTTTCATGTTAACACTGCCTTTTCAGAATAAAGGCAGTGTTTACATTGCCTCTAGGTACACCTCCAAGTGGCCACTCCTTAGATTGCCACTGGAGGTGCTTTCTGGGTCATTGCTACTGAAAAAGCAGCACTGACATTTAACGTCCCCACGCTCTGCATGGAGATGCTGAATTTTCCTCATAGAGATGCATTGACCTCTATGAGGTTGTCCTGATTGGCCAAAACAGCATTTGGCCCTGCCCCATGACGATTTTAGCCAATCCATTGGATTGGCTAAAAATTGCCTATTTTGATGATGTCACAAAGGGAGCGGAGCCAGCGCTGGAAATAAGGTGAGTTTTAAACTTTTAAAGGGGGGTTAAAGGAAGAAAGCCACCTAAATTGTGGGTTAAACACTATAAGGTTAGGAATACATGTTTGTGTTCCTGGCTCTATAGTGTTCCTTTAAGATTTGATTGAAAATTAAACCATTTTTTTTTCATGCAGGCTGTGGCAGTCACAGCCAGGGGCGGTGTGGTTCGGTCTGCATGGACAGAAACAAAAGTGATTTAACTGCTAAATGTCAGAGAACTGAGCAATGAGATTTCAGAGGCATGATCTATACACAAAAACTGCTTCTTTAAGCTAAATTTGTTTTGGTGAGTATAGTGTCCATATAGTATGTGATGAACGGCATCAGCGCAATTTTTTTACAACAAATGAAGTTATCATCAACAAATATTTCTGTTTCAGGTAAATCATAAAAGTTACATTTATACTTACAGTGAGGGAAAAAAGTATTTGATCCCCTGCTGATTTTGAACGTTTGTCCACTGACAAAGAAATTATCAGTCTATAATTTTAATGGTAGGTGTATTTTAACAGTGAGAGAAAGAATAACAAAAACAAATCCAGAAAAATACATGTCAAAAAAGTTATAAATTGTATTGCATGTCAATAAATGAAACAAGTATTTGATCACCTATCAATCAGCAAGATTTCTGGCTCCCAGGTGTCTTTTATACAGGTAACGAGCTGAGATTAGGAGCACTCTCTTAAAGGGAGTGTTCCTAATCTCAGCTCGTTACCTATATAAAAGACACCTGTGCACAGAAGCAATTAATCAATCAGATTCCCAAACTCTCCATTATGGCCAAGACCAAAGAGCTGTTCAAGGATGTCAGGGACAAGATTGTAGATCTACACAAAGCTGGAATGGGCTGCAAGACCTTTGCCAAGCAGCTTGGTGAGAAGGTGACAACAGTTGGTGCAATTATTCACAATATAACTATCAGTCTCCCTTGGTCTGATGCAAGATCTCACCTCGTGGAGTTTCAATGATCACGAGAACGGTGAGGAATCAGCCCAGAACTACACGGGAGGATCTTGTTAATGATCTCAAGGCATCTGGGACTATAGTCACCAAGAAAACAATTGTTAACACACTACGCCGTGAAGGACTGTAATCCTGCAGCTCCTGCAAGGTCCCCCTGCTTAAGAAAGCACATGTACAGGACCGTCTAAGGTTTTTCCAATTAACATCTGAATGATTCAGAGGAGATCTGGGTGAAAGTGTTGTGGTCAGATGAAGCCAAAATCGAGCTCTTTGGTATTAACTCAACTTGCCTGTTTGGAGGAGGAGGAATGCTGCCTATGACCATAAGAACACTATTTCCACCGTCAAACATGGAGGTGGAAACATTATGCTTTGGGGTGGTTTTCTGCTAAGAGGACAGGACAACTGCACCGCATCAAAGGGATGATGGACAGGGCCATGAACCGTCAAATCTTGTATCTTCAAAGCCTAGGCATTTAAAATGGGTCGTAGATGAGTATTCCAGCATGACAATGACCCAAAACACACAGCCAAGGCAACAAAGGAGTGGCTCAAGAAGAAGCATATTATGGTCTTAGAGTGGCCTAGCCAGTCTCCAGACCTTAATCCCATAGAAAATCTGTGGAAGGAGCTGGTTCATCAGCCTCGAACCTTTAATGACTTTGAGAGGATCTGTAAAGAGGATTGGGACAAAATCCCTCCTGAGATGTGTGCAAACCTGGTGGCCAACTACAAGAAATGTCTGCCAACAAGGGTTTTGCCACCAAGTACTAAGTCAAAGGGGTCAAATACTTATTTCACTGACATGCAAATCAATTTATAACTTTTTTGACATACGTTTTTCTGGATTCGTTTTTTTGTTATTCTGTCTCTCACTGTTAAAATACATCTACCATTAAAATTATAGACTTATCATTTCTTTGTCAGTGGGTCAAACGTTCAAAATCAGCAGGGGATCAAATACTTTTTTCCCTCACTGTACCTGAAGAATATCTCTGCTTTGGTCAATACATTCATCAGTAGGTCTTGTTCTCCCTGTGACTCATTCCACTGCAATAGACCCTCCGTGCCATTAAAAAAAATGATTTACTGCTGAATAATACGGATTGACAGATGGGAGGGCCAGAATTTAAAAGAGCTTTACATTAAAATATATACATTTCTCCTAGGGCGATATATAGATGGAATGAAATGCTCTTAAAGGGACACTGTAGGCACCAAGACCACTTCAGCTCATTGAAGTGGTCTGGGTGCACTGTCCCTACTGCTCATAGTGCTACAATGTAAAACATTGCAGTTCCATAGAAACTGCAATGTTTACACTGCAGCTCTAAGTCTGCCCTCAGCAGCCACTAGAGGATTTCCTAAATTGAAACGGACCTTTGGTCTGGTATCTGATGCTGGACGTCCTCACGCTTTGCATGAGGACCCTCAGCGGCAGATTTTTCCCCATAGAAAGGCACCGATTCAATGCTTTCCTATGGGGAGGTCTTATGCGCGTGTGGCATTTGACGTGCATGCGCATTAGAGCCCATTCTTCGCAGGATGTTGGAGGGAGCGGTGCTGGGATAAGGTAAGTAAATAAAGGGTTTTTAACCCTTTATTTAGTGGTGGGGGGAGTGCGCGATGAGGAGGAAGGCAGGGGGAGCGATAGTGCCAGGAATACAGCTTTGTATTCCTGGCACTACAGTATCCCTTTAAAATGAACCTGCCTTGCGTGTACCATGTAGGGTATACCTAAAGTATGCAGTGCCAAAGGAAACACTTGTAGTTTTTTTCCACCATGTTGATGACATGGATATATATAAACTAGATTTAAAAAAACACAATCTTGTATACATATCAATATGGTTTGTACAATGTTGTGTAAAAGATGCACTCTAATGCGAATCAATCATAACAGGCTCACTCTAACAGCTCCCAAGGCCATAGTTATATCATTTATCATTGCGATAAATGAAATGCTTGATTGCTTTGGCTGCAGCTATAGTCTCACTAACCTGAAGCCTCTTGTTCCAGCATCACGATCCCAGAGGTTTAGTGTTGCCGTCCTTTCTCTGTTCTGATTGACCCCATTTCTGGACACTTCTCCAAGCAGCGTAATCATTACTGATGACCCCAACTGCAATCAGTGTTTCAGGCTGCTGCTCTCCCTCTGGACTGGGAACCCAGAAGGGTGTTATCCCTGCCCGTCATCCAGATCAGTGGGTTTAAGGCGATGGTTCCTGTAGCAGTGTGGGCTTGGAACGTGGTGGATTGTGGCGCTGCACTGCTGATCAAAATTGACCATTTCCCTCAATAAGGAATGATGGTGGCTACAGCTACGCTCTCCTCTTTGTACCCTCTAGAGGCCTTTGTTTCTTGAGCGAAAGCATCGGCTGATGGAGTCTCGGACTGGTGCTGCTTACAGCTCTGCCATGCTGGCTTCTGAGTGTCTCCCTGGGGGCATTATCTCACATGTTACGATATTCACGAGATTGTATCTGATTTGTCTTCTACCTTATTTTATTTTTATTGCTTTAGTTTAACCTTGCTCTAACAGCACAGTAAACTGCTGCATAACATTCCTTATTATTATCTTATTATTAATTAACCGACTATTTCCCTACTATCTTATCATGTATTATTCTAATGGCACAGTTCTCCTATTAGTATACTCTGGGCTATTGGCACTGTGTACATATGTGCTGTTGCTTGCATCTAAGACGACCACTATGTATTAGCATGACATTACATCACTACAATTCTCACTATTAAGCAATGTTTCTTCATGTTTAGCCAATCTATAGTTTAAAAATTGTACAGAAACCTCGAAATGTACTGCATGCTCTCTTTGGCACTCTTTAGTGCCACACAATGCCATGCCTTTGTTGATCTGCGATACTGGCAATGCACTACAAAAAAAAATGTTAAAAAGAAGTATGCAGTGTCCCTATATTAACATAGATAGAGGTATATATTGGTTTTTAAAATCCAAATCAATTGAACCCTCCAACCCCCTCCCCCAGGTTTATTAAAGGGACACTCCAGGCACCCAGACCACTTCTGCCCATTGGAGTGGTCTGGGTGCCAACTCCCACTACCCTTAACCCTGCAAGTGTAATTATTGCAGTTTTCATAAACTGCAATATTTACCTTGCAAGGTTAAGTCCTCCTCTAGTGGCTGTCTGCTAGACAGCCACTAGAGGACACTAACATGTTCATAGAACATGAAAAGTGTGTTATAACGTCGCTGTACGTCCTCACGCTATGTAGGACCTCCAGCGTCGCCAAAATCCCCATAGGAAAGCATTGAAAGCATTATTCAATGCTTTCCTATGGGGAGGTCTAATGTGCGTGCGCGGCATTGGCGCGCATGCACATTAGGCACAATAGGTCTCCCCCGGCGGCTGACATCGGCAGGGGTGGAGCATAGGCTCAGCAACTTGGGATGGGGGTGGGAGGGAGAGGGGCACTAGAGGGTCCTGCAGTGCCAGGAAAACAGATGTGGCTTCCTGGCACTGGAGAGTCCCTTTAAGCAGCTTTCCAGTTGAAGCTGCTATGTTTACGCATGTCCCCTAGCAGGGGTATCTGGTAATTTCTCAATTTCTTTCTTGGTAGATCCTACCTTTCAGGATATCTATCAAAGGTGAGCCTGTGAATGAGATACAGGATTGTTGTTTGCCTGATTTATGAAGAAAGCCGAACAGACATCTTGGGTACCATGTTAATGAAAGCCTCTGAGGTTTGAAGAGATTGCTTTAAAGAAACACTCCTGCTTCCTAAAGCACTTTAGCTTGCTGAAGCGCTTTATGTGTGTACAGTGTATCCTCTTTTTTTCATTTTACAAAAACATTTTTTACAAATCAACCTTGTTGCACCCCCAGGTTACTTCCTGGTTTGGTTAACTTAGTTGCACTGAACTCAAGAGGCAGCATTTGCACGGAGCACCTGCCTTGCAAATACTTTTCATTGAGCTGCATTGGGAAGTCTGTGATTGGACAGCCACAGAAAATCTGGGCAGGATTAAAAGGGGAGGGCTTGAAAAGGCAGCATAATAGAAATGTTGGTTTTACAAGCTGTTGTTAAATATACCCCCAATTTAAAAATGCATCATTAAATGCATACATGTTTTCATTGGTAGTGTATCTACTAAACAGTGATTTTATTTTGTACTTAGGCAGTGGAGCAACCTGTCAACCGTATACTCTAGGACAAATACTCAAGAATAAGATTTTATCCTGGAATAATTGTGGGGGGTACAGTTCTCACCTCCTCTTACGTGGCACCCCTGTTCTGAGGACAAAAATAACATGATTTAATACACCGTAACTAATATATCCCCCCACCATTTCTCATGTTTATATAGACTAATTTTCCATTTTAATTGTAAAAAATTACCTTTCCCTTTGTTCCAGAACTGGTTCTCAAAACCATTTCTCCTTCAGGGTTCCATGACCCTGATCTTGGAACACAGTCTGAAGGGGGTGGACGGAGAGACAGCTGTGATCACACAGACTCTTTGCAGGCTTCATTTGCATAGTACAGATTTTTGCTTTAACTGAACATTAATGGTTATGTCCATTATTTTTCCATTTTAATTGTATTCCATGCATATATGTTTTTGGACCATTAGTATTTATCTATTTTTACACGTGTGTGCATGTAACAAAAGGAATTTCGGCTCCTATGCTAATATTGTAGCTCCGATCATAAACACTTCTGGAAAAGGGATACTATAAAAACTCTTATCATCCCTTCCATACCACAGGCTCCTCCATAGATCTTCTTATCCCTATTGAGATGCCATTCACATTTTTTATACAGCATTTTCGGTTCCATATTTTGCCAAAAAATAGGAGAAGAATTAAAGACTGACAGGGTTATATTCACTTAAGTGAAATTTGTCAGAAATTCAAACTGAATCTTAAACTGATGACCAAAATATCCCTGTTGGGAAAATTATCCTGGCCAGCAATGGCTACAGTGGCCTTGAATTTGAAATTCCATTTGAATTCCTGACAATTCTGCCTTTAGTGAATAACCTATACCTAGGGGTTATTTTGTCTAATTTATTGATTAACATCCCAATGTGGCCTTTATACGTGTTTAATACGTATTAGTTCGGGAGATATTAATTTACGTTTTCTGTTGTAAAAAATGGTGCGAAAAGTGAGGAGAACAGTCACCAATAGCATAGGCCTGCTGGTTTCTATGGCGATTGCCCTAATCTTAGTACATTAGGTAACTTTATTTTAGCACAGAACACTTACTATTCTTCCCTATGTCTTTGAAAAAGATAAATCAAAAACATGAAGAAAAATAATCAAAATTGACGATGCTGCTTTATTTTGCAAACCCGGAGACTCTACTCCAATTTGTTCTCCACCTAGCCTTGTCTTGACCCTCCCACTGCCTACCTGATCCTGCCCATCTTTACTCCCTCTCACCCCTCCCTCCCTTATATGTTAATATAATCATGATTATCCCCCACTTACGTTGACCTGGGGAGGAAGGCTCTGGATACCTGACCCACCAATGTCTCCAGGTACGAGTATTGATTAATCTGATAAGGAGTCTCTACAGAGCAATATTTTAGTTTTTATGCGTAATCTCTCTAATGTGTAATACGGAGTATAATATGACTAATTCATTAGTGATAGCCTGTAGCCATTTGGAGGACTCTGTAATCGGACAGTGTACTCATCACTGTGCAGGAGAGTGTGCGAAAATGCAATCATATGAGTATATCCGGTGCACACTAGATGTAGGATAGAGATGAGCAGTCAGGGGCTGATTTTCCTTGCACAGACCTTGCAGAGCGTAGAGTAATCCTGTCAGATTTACGGATTATCAGGGGCTTGTTGCATTCCCGTTTTCACATTTGTCACAATCTGAAGTGTTTTGTGATTTGCAGCCGGAATTGTATGCAGTGTGTCATTGTGTACCTCTTTAGGAAGATTGGTTTGGCATGCCTTAAAGATTTACACACAAGCTCTAGACACACATAAATGTATATTTAGAAGACTGCACTATTTTGAGAAAATATAAATGAGAATAAGTTGAAAAAAGATATTTATCAAAATGAGATCTTTTTAATTCAATTACCTAGTGACTGATTTAGCCTTTTTTTGTGCATTCAATTTTTGGTCTCTGAAGCTGCCGTTTCGTCACATGATGGATGAAAATAAATTGCAGTTTTGAGGGGTCCTTAATTTTTCATTAAAGGGACGCTCCAGACACCATAACAACTTGGTGCAAGAAGGTCCACTGCCCTTGTCTCTCAGCACACAGTTGATTAATGAGTATAATTGCAGCAATTTGCAGTAATCACTGCCACTATATGCTTGTCCCTTTTCTCAGAGCAACAGAGAGCTAATATTCATCTTGTGCCAGTGCAAATATTAATATGGTGCACAGCGGTCAAAACCCCATTACTCTCAATGGCACTTGGAGAGAGACAGAGCTGCAACAGTGTGTATGTGTGTGGATTGGTCAAGCTCCGTGTACAAAGCAAAACAATAAATAAGACTATCATTTAAGGAACAGTTTAGGCACTATAACAACTTCATCTAAATTAAGTTGTTATAGTGCCAGGAGGCCCCTATCAGACTCTTACCTTCCGGGTTTAAACCATTCTTGGCTTGTCTCTTTTCAAGCCAGTTTTAGAAATGGGGAGTAATTAACTGGCTGAGAGCATCAGCTGACTGCTCTTAGCTTATCAGCGCCCCCGTCCCCCACTAGACGGCATTTTATGTTTCATGCAACTTAGATCTCAGAATTCGGATCCCGCCTGAGAACGTTTATTTAGATGAAGTTGTTTTGGTGCCTGGAGTGCACATTTAAATTGACAGCGAGCAAGGTATGCCTTCTCTCAACTACTGCAACATTTCCGTTCAACCAATGTGATGAACGGAACACTTTGCTAGTGCGGAACTGCAGTGACGTGACTTGCTTCACTGGCGACTTCCTTAATGGGCAAAGGGAGGGTGTATCTGGATAAGGAGTAGGCCAGTTCACTAAAATGCCCGGCCACCAACTTGCAGGACCTTGCATACAGCGCTGCTGAAGCACTCTCTGCAGGGTAATAGTGCCTGCTGCACAGTCATAAAAATAAAAATCAATGTTAAGACCCTTTGGGGAGAGGGTTTCCATATCGAAAATCCAATTAATTTCTGTTTTATTAATCATTTTTAAAAAGTCACCCCCATCTCCAAGGTTTCCCCACATTTTGTATGTCTATAAAATGTAAATTCTTAAAATCACACTTGTGGCATTCATAAAAGTGGGCAGAAACTGAATGATTCAGGACCCCTTTTTGGATATTTCTTAAGTGTTCGCTTATTCTAACTTTCAAAGGCCTTGTGGTTCTTCCAATGTATTGGAGACCACAGTTACACGTCAGGAGGTATATCACATTATTTGTATTACATGTGATAAAATCTTTTATTTTAAATTCTTTCTTTGTCACATTCGAGATGAATTTTTCTGTTTTCCTATTCTTCACCTTCGTATTTTTACAACCCCTACACTGACCACAATTAAATAAAACTTTTAATTCCTTGCCGAAGAGATCCCTATCTTGATCCTCATCTCTTATTAGATAACATCTCGTTAAAATATGTTTCAGGTTTTTAGCTCCCCTATATACAACTTTAGGTTTCTCCCCAATAAAAGTTTTCAAATCCTCGTCTTGTTTTAAAAGATGCCAATGCTTATTCAATATTTTTTTTTTTTTTTTTTTAAACATGGCTTTGAGAATTAAAATCGCATATAAAAGAAATGTGCCCATTGTCTGATTGTTTATTTTTTTTGATATGAGCCCATTTTATGATTGTATAATATGGCTATTGGATTCTTATATTACTGTGGACCTATTTCCCACAATGAAAATGGTGTCTTTTAAACTGAATCCGAGGAAGGAGAGGTGAAAAATGGGAACATGGAGGAGGTTCTCGATGCTCTTGGAACGCATAAGCATTTTTCAAGATGGCCTCTGGAACGCATCCGGGGGAACCGGAAGTGACGTGTAGCGTCCATGTGGCTGTCATTATGACGCTCGCGAAGACCAGAGGAGTACGCCCCTTCCATAAGGAAAACATTGTATACAGGTGGGCGTAGTCAGAAACCACATTTTCAGCGCCAAAATGGATTTAAAAGATTGATTGGACATAGGAGAGTTTATGCACCTGAGGAAGACGCAAGGGGAGCAGTGAAACACGTTGTCCTCTATATGTTGGACTGGGGCATTCCAATTACCTTGATGCAAGGTTTTTATGTGTGTTATAATAAATTTTATCTGCACTATTTTAACTGGGCTTGCCTTTCTCCTGTTTTATGTGTCTATTGGAGATCAAGATACTCATCCTATCCAGTGAAAGGACTGTGTCACACCAAGGCTATATTACCCAAGCCAGTTACTATTAACAGGCTCAATAAAATGTGAGTGTGATACTTATTAGATCTATTTTATTTTTTCTATTTTATTATGGTTCATTACTGGGTTGCCCTATGAGAGTTTGTTTCTCTTCCTATTGCAGTGATACCTTATAACCTGTTTATGGTATAGTTATTTTATATTTCTCTACCACTCAGCACATTTATATAAATGGTGTCTGATACACAATTGTATATACCTTACGTAGTGTGCTTTTATACACATAGATTTTTTATATAGATTATGTAATGTTTGCAATGTCCACTACCTATTTTTTGTACTCTGCACACATAAAAATTTTCAGCAAGCTAAAGTTGTTTAGGGGTCTGGAGTGACCCTTTAACATACCTCCTTAAATTACACAGACGCGTATTTCCCCATGCGCATATATGCAGCTCACCTTATTGCTGTTTTTCTTTCAGGTGACAGAATTTCTGAAATTCACTTTGTCGTCTCAGAGGTGGGTATGTTTGCAGTGTGAAGAAATTTAATAATGAAAGCAAATCTGTCACCTGAAAGAAAAAATTAATTAATCACTAGAGCATAAGGAACCGAGGCTATGTTGTGTTAACATTTTTTTTTTAAATTGTTCAGCAGCTTTGCAGATATTTTTAATTACACAGTTGAGCAGAACCACTAAATTTTAAAAATAACTATTTCTTATTTTACAGAAGTACAAGGTATTTTCCAAATGCACTTATTTCTTTCTTTTTATTTTTTTTTATTACCAAAAGGAAATAGGTATTAATTTTGAGGACGGCACCTAGTCTTCTACACAATTTATAAACAAACAGAAATCCAGCCTCTATAACTAACAAATCATATAGGGTAGAACATCAAAACTTGCCTCACCCTCCAAAAAAAAGTTGCACCTAAAGAAGGACTTAAATAGTTGCAATTCTCACCAAATGGATACATCAGGATCTTTTTTTTCTTGCTGAAGTACTTTATGTGTGAAGTGTGACCTCTTTTTTTTTTTTTAAAGAAAAAAATGCAGATTTCACAAGAAATTTACACTTTTATAATTTAACCTTGTTACGCCCCCTTCGCTGTCACTCAGGCAACTGTTCCTGTTACTTCCTGGTTATGCAGCTCAGTGAAGCTAAACTCAAAAAAGGCAGTAATTGCCTAGACCACCTGCCTTGCAAAGACTTCTCATTGAGCTACATTGGGAAGTCTGTGATTGGACAGACACAGAAAGTCTGGGTGGGGTTAGATAGGGAGGGCTTGTAAAGGTTGCAGACAAGAGATCTGCAGCTTTTGCTAGCTATGTTTAGATATACTAGTAATGAATAAATATTTAAGTAAATGCATGTTTTCATTGGCAATATATCTACTAAAAAGTGATATATACTTTCTGTAGCTGTACAATCACAGACTTCCCAATGCAGCTCAATGAGAAGTCTTTTGCAAGGCAGGTGCTCTGGGCAATTACTGCCTCAGGAGTTTAGCTTCACTAAGTTACATAACCAGGATGTAACGTCCAATTGTCTGACAGTGAAGGTGGTGTAACAAAGTTAAATTATAAAAGTGTCAATTTCTTGTGAAATCTGCACATAAAAAACAAAATAAATTTTTCTTTATATATTATTATTATTATTATTATGGTATGTAGTGGTTATGGTGCTTGGAGTGTTAATTTGGGCGATTTCTTACACTTCTCTATCTTTGGTGAAGTGGATATCCATGTGCTCTGGTTATAGTGGTGTGTCAAATTAAATATTTGAATCTGTTCTTAATATATCTTCCTCCAATAGTGGGATAATGTCTGGCATTCCCATCATAAATGAATAATGCTGGCTCAATCTTCTCTGACACCTCCACATCTGTTCGAGTAATTGGGGCTCAGTTTGTGCAAGCCTCAAATGATCCGAACGTAGCTGATGCTTCTCACAGGGAAGCACTGATTCATGGATTGTGGCAATTGCTGGACCAGCACCATGGGTCTGCATTACTTCTCTACAAAACGGTACATTTAAGAGCTTTCTGCAACTTTGTTGTTTTTTTTGTTGTTTTTTTTTACATAATCTAAACTAAAAACACATCTAACTAAGAATAGGATATATATATATATATTTTAATGTGGAAGTGTATCTTGTTGAAGTTGTGATTCAGTCTAAAATTCAAAACATGTTTCATATTACAAAAAAATAAAAATAATTTCATATAAGTAATTCACCCTTTTTTTTCATTCGTTATTCACTAAAGTGAAATTTTTTAGAAACTATCAAGGAAATTGCTAATTTTATTTTCCAAAATATCTATTACCCCCAATAATAGGTGATGTCATCTTATAATGGTGGGAATAGACATACTTGCCTCATCCCATTTTTGTACTATAAAATGGCAGAAGGCCACCACTCTACTTCAACTAATGCCACAAGAGCTTGCATATACTGTTAAAAAATGTTCTTCTATTCCTTAAGATCCCAGTCCATTAATATTCCAAGTCATGGGCTTTTTTCATTTCCAGTGATAGGAAAAATGTAGGTTGGCAAAAACTATACATTGGCCATTTATGTGGACCAAATCAATCATCGATGCAACATAATCTGTGGGTCTCCCTGC